CATCTCTGTGATTTGGTGGGTCGTTTATAATTTTTTCAAGGTTTTTGTTTCATGTGTGCCTTTTTATCCATCTTTCGTGATGAATGGAGGCTGTGTTGGAGTGTTTTGATAGTATTTTGGGTGCTGGGTCATATCGCTATATACACCATACAGCTACACAGTTTGCAGAAAGAGAAAGCTGAAAATCATCAGAAGAGCAATAACAAAAAGAATGATTAGATGGAGATGAATGACATGTATAGCAGCATGCAGTAAATAACATTATTCTGTTTTTGTCATGATATATCATACAGCTAGACCTATAACGACAAGACATTTCCAAGCAATAGCCTATTGACGTCATATCCGGGAGATAAGTCAGTAATTTCTAAATCACATGTGGTCCCCAGATAGTACTAATCCCGTGCGAATAGGGCTTATGACACATCTCTTAGTCAAGTCAAGTCAAATATATTTATATAGCGCTTTTCACAATACAGATTGTATCAAAGCTGCTTCACAGTATCAATCAAAACATCTTAACAGTGTTTGTGTATTACTGAAAAAAGACATCCAAGTTTGGTAGAGCTGATCAGTGGTATGATGGGTCATTTACTGCTCATTTATTCAGTGGTGTGATTGGGTCATATTACACCCCAAACCAAAATAGAAATGATATTTAGCATAAAGAAAACAATTTTTTTTAGAAGCATTAAAGTTTACTTTGTTTAGCATTGTGACCAAAAATAGAATTGTCTGTAACCTACTGTGATGTTGGAAAAACCTTATACAAGTTATTGTAATGCAAAAAAAAAAAAAATGAATTCATGTTACTGTTGTGCAAAAAAACTCATTGTTACTATAATGCAGAAAAACTTATCCCATTACAGTATTGTTATATGCAAAAAACTATTCATCATAGCTTTTACGCAAAAAACTTGTCCATTGCGATTGTGTAGAAAAAAAAGCCTGTTGCCTGTTGACTCTCCCCACTTACTGTTACATAAAACATAATCCTCATAGCTGTTATGTAAAAACCCATCAGTTACGATTGTGTAAAAAAAATGCTTGCACAAAAAAACATCCATGTTACTGATGCCTGTTACTGATGCCTGTAAACACACCCCACTTACTGTTGCACAAAACAACTAATCCTCATAGCTGTTGCACAATAAAATGTCCCCATTACCATAAATGTGCAAAAACTTGTTGGTGTAATGATCGGGTGTCCAAAAACTTTGTCCATATAGTGAATGTGAGATATGATTTTATCGTTTTACTGATACAGTAACCGTTTACACCCTTAGGCCACTAGCTTTTGACACTTAGTGCAGTGATCCTGAATTTCTTTCTTCTATCCTGTAGGGGAGAGCACATCGCTGGAATGATGAAGCAAATCAAGGACATCAAAAACCATTTCAGTTTCTGATCATCAGCAATCATCAGTCCTCAAAGGCCCATCTATCATCATCATATAGCAGACAATGAAATTACAGTTGAACCAAAAACCACTCCATAGACCCTGCATGAGCTTCTTAAAGAATTGCATTTGACCTGACATTTTTGTATAAACTAGGTTGTCTATTTTTATAAGTGCTATGTACATGTACACATCCCCTCGACAATAAAGGGTTTTGTACATTGAAGTGACTCTTTCCTGCGTATGTGTTGCTGTGAGAGTTTATCAGCTGTGAGACAGCAGCATTGGACATCGGCGTTATTTCCTGAACTGAGACAATGGCTTATCTGAAGAGGTCATGCTGGATACGAAGACTTTTCCCTCTTTTCCTTCCCTCCGCTAATCACAAGGCGGAATGTGACGAGGGAAAAGATCATGTCAAGAACAAGGAGCTTGTATACTGTAGTCGGAGGGGAAAGGATGTCCCGGGTTCAATTCATGTTGAGCTTTATCAATAGTTATCTGCTGTTTACTACCAACATTCATTTTGACTGGTCCCTTAGTAACAAGAAAATATTTGGAATTTACAATGAAGTCTATGAGGCAAACCTGAGAAGTCGAGCATAATTAATCAAAATTATAAGATAAGTTAAAATTATGACGTTATGACATAAGTCAAAATTGGGATACCAAGGCCCGGTTTCACAGACCGGGTTTAGATTAAGTCAGGTTCAGGCCTTAGTTCAATTAGGACATTTAAGTAGCTTTTATAAATGTGCCTTAAAAAAAAATCTTGAAAAAAAAAAAAACATGGCACTGATATATTTTAAGATATATCAGTGCAAGATGCTTTGTTCAGACAGCACAAACATGCATTTTAGTCTAGGACTAGACTTAAGCCTTGTTTGTGAAACCGGCCATGTTAAATATGAGGCAAGCCGGAATTTGGAGAGCCAATTGACGTAGTAATTTGCAGTCATAATTATGTCAAACTTGAGATATTAGTCAATTGTGAGACAAAAAGTAGAAATTATAAGTCAATTATGACTAATTATGCTTTGTCATAATTGATAGTTAACATTGTCAATTTTGACTTTTGACTGTCAACTTTTTGTCAGTTTTCTACTTTTTGTCTTATGACAGTCAAAATTAGTCTTAAATATAATTTTGTCTTCATAATGATTTACCAAAGTATAATGCAAAGTCTTGAAAACCTTATACATGTTGTTTACATGATATTATGATTTATGTGATCTTAAATCTACGGACTAAAAATCCATATAAAAACTTGTTTCAATTTGTTTTATTATATAGATATATACAGGGATATGTACACAGTACAGTATATAAATTTGCCAGGGCTTCTGAATTTGCAACACAGCATGCAAAAAAAAAAAAACCCAACTGTTGTTATTGTGAGTGAATCTTCATTCTTCACCGACCCAGCAGAAATGACTGTCTTGAATTATAAATTATACTGACTGAAAAAAAACACACAAAAAAAACCCTTTTCATTAAAAATGGTAGTTTCCTAGCCCCAAATTTGTTATTAGAGTTCCAACAGTGTCTTCTAAAGAAAAATGTAGTTCCTAAAATATTGTGATGTCAAAACTATGCTTCTGTTGTTCTAGTAAAACATGAAACAATTGAAGTAGCAACTTCTTTACGTGTGTTTGCAATGTGAAGACGGCACAGGACGTGTGAGCGTTATGAAGTGAAACTGACAGGTAATAAAATGAACACCACCACAACACACATGGTCTTAATATAATGCACATATTCACACAGAAGAGCTTCATCATCATCATCATCAGTCCATGTACAGATCACAACAGCAGCACTGGTCATACTATAGTAGCGTTGGTAAAGTTCTGTGTACTCATCAGATGGAGTTGTTAAAGTGGTCGGCTTCGCTCAGGAAACTTAATTCATTGCATTTGATGATTAAAAAAAGATGCACATCTTAATACCTGGAATACTTGGACTGAATTCGTTTTTCCATTGTCAAATATCACTGATAACTTTATCTCTTTTAATGACAAATTTAGCAGACATAATGTTACACGTGCAGGTACAGGGCTTTTTTGACATGGACTTCGTCCAATTGTCAGCCAATTTTTGTTTTCAACCAATGACCGTTTTTATTAACAGACTTTGTTAAAGGGTAAGTTCACCCAAAAATCTAAATTCTGTCATTAATTACTCTCCCTCATGTCGTTCCAAACCCGTACGACTTTCATTCATCTTCAGAACTCAAATGAAGATATTTTTGATGAAATCTGAGACCTTTCTCTCTCCATTAACATTGGCACTCGCATCACTTCATAAAATTGAGGTTAAACCACTGGAGTCACATGGATTACTGTAATGTCTTCACTACCTTTCTGGGGCTTGAAAGTGGTAGTTGTGTCGCTGTCAATGGAGGGACAGAAAGATCTCAGATTTCATCAAAAACATCTTCATTTGTGTTCCGAAGATGAATGAATAACAGGCTTTGAACGACACGAGGGAGAGTAATTAATGACAGAATATTCATTTTTGGGTGAACTAACTCTAATCTGAACTAAAATTTATTACCATTTAATTATTATTATTAATTTAAAAAAAAAACATACCAAAATCAAATGGCACTTTTGGTCTTGTAAAAAAATAATTATTATTATTTTTTGCCATTTAACTGAACATAAATCATACACGCTTGTTTCCTGTAGTTGTTATTTCGTCTCGCACCCATAAAAAAAAAAAAAAAAAAAACGCAGCCAGAAAATGACTTAAAACCATTAGCCCTTTCCATGTTCTTTTGATTTTGATTTAAACCATCCAAATATGATGCTTTGAATATTTAAGGTCAACATGATCAACTTTGGTTCTATATGAAATTCTGTTTACGCCGCACGCAAGACATACATATATTATTGTACCTCTTAATGTGGTACACAAAACACAGGATTCGGTTTAAGACGCCACTTGTAAATCATTAGCATAGTGTGCTTTCATTAATACACAGACAGCAGAATGATGGGTAACCACCTTCTAAAACAGTGCTGTTGCCTTATACTTGACGGAAATCGATCAAATATCAAAAATCAGACCAAATGTAAACTGTAAATATCATCAGATGTGTCTGCAATATCCTTCGGAAAGAAAGAAAACAGAAAAATAAGCAAAAGCATCAGTCCGTTCCAACAAAAGTAGCAGTAGCGTTAAGCAATGGTTGTCAAATTGTTAGGAAGTAAAAGAAAAGATTTGGGAATTTGGAGGATTTCCTAAAGACTGACGTTGAGGATAAGTTGGATACGTTGACGTAGGAGAGAAACAGCGTCGCTTGTGAAAACGTGGGAGGCGGGAATCAAAGTCTCGTGTATTAACTTAACTAATGCAACATACACATAATCTGTATACAAGTATGTACAAAACACTTCAGGAGCGTCTGTTTCCTTCATAGGTCACTGCTTGGAAGAGAAGTAGAGCGGTGTCAGACGAAAGACGGGGAACTTTGGTAGGGTCTGGGAACGGGACAGTCACATTAGTTGATTATCCACTGAGCTCCTCATGGCATCACAAGACACGAAGCATTCCCTCGGTCAGAGACGGGGGTCTCGCTGTGCTCTTGAGGACGAGCTGGACAGATAGCAGTAGTAGGTCAGTATCAGTAGTGTTTCTCCAAGACCTGCAAGCTCGGGCCGAAGATCTGAGGTACAGGTGGAGCGTGTGTTTAGATGTGCACGATGGAGTCGTGAGGAGGAAGTGACATCATGTCTCGGGAAGCTGGCTGATGTCTGTAAAGTTGGTGTCGTTGAGAATGGCACGGATCCGCTCTAATGAGTCCGCTTGCCGGATACGCTCCAGTTGCACCTGCAGGGGTACAAAAGCATTGTATTTGCAGCTGCGCGTGTGTGTGTGTGTGTGATGTGGCGTAACTACAGCGCTTACAATCACACAAACTGCCTTTCCATCCACTTTTTTTATTACATTTTTTCCCAATTTAAAAATAAAAATGTACACTAGTTCCAAACGTTTGTATTAGTTGGTTAAGGTCTCTGCTCATCAAGGATGCATTTGTTTTATCAGAAATACAGTAAAATCAGTGACACTGAAATATTATTACAATACTTCAAATAACTCTTTTCTATTTGAATATATTTTAAAATGTAATTTATCCCTGTGATGCAAAGCTGAATTTCCAGCATTATTACTCCAGTTTACAGTGCCACAAGATCCTTCAGAAATCAGTCTAATGTGCTGATTTGCTGCTCAAGAAACATTTCTTATTATTATCAATTCTGAAAACAGTTATGCTGTTTGATATTTTTTGGGGAAACCATGAAAAAAGGTTTTTAGGATTCTTTGATAAATAGAAAGTTAAAAAGAACAGCATTAATTAGAAATATATTTTTTTTCTTTGTCACTTTTGTTTAAGTGAATGCTTCCTTGCTGAATAAAAATAGTAAACTACAAATATCTTCACATTTTTAGCAGTAATGTAATTACATGAATCACGTTTCAAATTTCCAAATTAACACATGTTTAAAATTACAGCTAAAACTAACAAAATAATCAAATAAACCACTTTTGAATTGGACAAATAAATAGATAAAAACTATTTATTAATTTATTATTTAAAAACGTTTTTTTTTTTTATCAATTCCTCTTTGAAATCTAATCACATTGCTACTCCGAATCCTACAAAATGTTTTATACTAATTTTGGGATATTGCATGAAAAATTCTGGAATTGATTATCAAAAATTGAGGACTTTTTTTTACTTGTATATTTACTTACATACTTATACTTTACTATTGTACTTTTTACTATTGTACTTTTTTCAACTTTCTTTAGTATGTAGTTTTGCAGTTTGGGCATGAAAAAGGTTTGAAAAGTTACAGTCACTCCAAAGCAAGTCATTCTCTATATCAGTGCGCACTGTTTCTGAACTCCCTGAAATGCCTCCATTTGCGCTAGTAGTGTTGAAACTCGCAGTTTATGGTATGCGACATTTCCAAAACACGCTCAGCCGACCAATCAGAGCACATTGTGCTTTTCAGAAGGAGGGGCTTCATAGAGACAGCAAATAAACAGGGCTGCGTTTCCCAAAATCATTGTAGGCCCTGTCCCAAATGGCACACTTCATATGCACTTTCGGCCTTGTGGACTTACAATGGCTGCCGCGTGTGCGTGTCCGTTAAGTCCGGGAGACCGTAGGGTGTCCCATTTGTCATTTTAGGTCTCGGAAGGGTGCTATGCAGTCGATTTGCGCCCTCAATGCACACTTTTGCCGAACCCGCACTGATGCGAGCTCCGCAGCAGACTTCTTCCCGACAGTCAAAGAAGCGTTACGTCACGAAAGTGCGGACTCAGAGGAAGACCGCGGGTGCTTAGGGTGCCATTTGGGACAGGGCCGTAAGCCTAAGTAGATCGTAGAGAACATTGGTGGCAATGGTCTCACAATGCATTTGGGAAACGCAGCCCAGAGCGTGTGTCACTGACAAACTGGGAAGAGAGGTGCAGCAACAATGTAAAATATGTAAAGGTGTTTTTTGAGCATCAAAACCTATTCTAGTAGACCCTAAAAACAAAATCAGGCCTCTTTAAAACATATACACCCACCTGAAGTTTTTTTTTCATTTATTATTTAGTAAGACAACGTACTTCACTATGAAGGAAACATTTAATGAATAAATTCCTAGATATGAATCCATTTTTTTTGCCTCAAGTCATGTGATTAACTCGCTAGGAGCAGAAAATGTGTTGCTCTGGCCAAAGCTGCCATCATCTCCCAGAACAGTCTTAACCTGCTGTGTCGTGCTTCTAGCACTCCATGTTCTACTAGTGAAATGTGTTTACCTGAAGGGTCTGGGACAGCTTGACGAAATCTCTCTGGACCTGCTCGCTGACGTCCAGCTCTGTCTGAAGTCTCTGTGCCTTGTCTTTCTCTTCAAATGCCTGAGTCTCCAAAGCACTCTACAACGCACACATTTTGTCAAGTTTACTTTGACTTTCAGTTTACTTTAAATGTTTGTATAAATAATATAAGCATGAATTATAATCTTTTGTTTGATGCACATCCTGTTGTTTGCATGGACTCCTGCTTATCTGATGATTGATTCATCACATGCACAGGAAGCGCTGAGTAGACTATGAACTTTGCAATGAGGTTTTATGAGAAACATAACTCAAAACTCTGGCAGAGCGCAGTGGTCACAAAAGATTTCACACCTTGCTGCTGAGGGCATCTTTCAACCGTTCCTCCAGACCGTTCTTCAGGCCCTGGACGTTCTCCAGCATCTGTCTCTTCTCTGCCAAGCTGCTCTCCAGCTGTTGTAAAGATCAACAGTCAGTCAACAAGTGCTGAAGCCACACAACAAACACTCAATCCACTTCAGTCCAAAAGTTCATTACTAAAACTCGTTTAGGTCACATTTAAAAGTTGTATTTGTTACACTGTGAACCCAAATGAACAAACAATGAACAACTGTATTTTAAAAAAAAAACTTTTTTAAGATTAATAAATATTGTAACAAATGTATTGCTCATTGTTAGTTCATGGAAAGAAATTAGACCTTACTGTAAAGTGCTACCAAAATCAATAAAACTGGAAATAAATCAAAAATAAAAATAAAAACGAAATACATTTTTAGTAATTTTGTGTGCTTTTGTCGTTTTATTAGTTTAAAAAAAATGTATCAACTTAAATTAAAAACAAAAAATATTAATAATACTAAAACTGACCCCCAATTCTGGTTAATATAATCCAAAGAAAGAAAAACAACAACAAAACCCCATTCTTATTACTGCAACAAAGAGCCAATCATTTTTTGGTATAATAAAAATGTATAATTTTTTTTTTTTTATGAAAAAAAACTATATGAAAAAGCTCCTATAATAATATTGTTAGAAAAATGCTAATATTATGCATAAAAACCACAGAGTTTAAATAATATCAATTATTTCAGTTATTCATATTATTTATTATTACTTAATACATTGAGAATTTTGGGGGGAATTTTCCCTTTTGATTTTCAGTTTCAGTTTCAGATTCCTTTATTAGTCCCCAAGGGGCAATTCAGTTTTACAGCCAACCCATCCATAATAGTTAAATGCATTAACACACAATGTATAAAAGAGAAAAGAAGAAATAAATAACCACATCCACACATACTAGTATCACACTCACACACACGCACACCTGCCACTAACTAAACAGAGCAGTGGAAAGCAAGAGCCAGTACCAGATTTTGGGATCCATTATATCTTGGACATGACATGTTTTTAACCGGTTTTGTGACATTCAAGCCTAAAGACTAAATATCATTAGTATGCCTTGAACTTCTGCCCTACCTGTTCCTTCTCACTCTTCACTCGTTCCAGTTCCGTTTTCAAGCTGGAAAAAGATGCTATAGGATGGAAGAAAGACAAGAACAGAAAAGAAACGGTGTCACATGCTGTTGCTGTGTTGTGTATTAGTCAGACACATGTAGTCAATTTATGGCCAGTTCTCCTATAACAAGGCGAGCGTTCTCCTCAGTAACAAGAGGAATTATTTGCTCAAAGATCCGCTTGTTAGCGCTGCCTGGGCCACAATGAAAATTGAAAAACTGTGACTTGTCAATTAATTAAGCATGACTCTTAAAACATTTTTCAGAAGTAAAAACAGCTGTATTGTATTGTACTGTTTCAATACAATGTAGCATTTTCTAGTACTTTAGCAAGTAACAAAGCACTACAACACCATGTTTAAAAAGAAAAAAACAGCTGAGCGAGTTGAGGTAACAAATGTCCTCACTCTCTTAAGTTCTGTTGAACTGAACTTGTACTGAAAAAATATATAATTTTTTTAACCACATCTTTGCATAGGAAGTTGCTGCACTGCATTTTTTTCTAGACAAATATTTAGAAATACTGTCATTCATTTCCATGTCTTTTACTTAAATACTGTATAGTAGACATGACATACGGTAATACAATATATCGCGATAATGAACATGCACAATATTGTTATTGTGGGCACTGGAAAATACTGTGACGCACCAAACAGCAAAACAATCGAAATAATTCATAATAAGAAATTGTTCAATGTAAACAACAACAATGATGAGAAGCATGGTGGAACCAGTGAAGGAGATGTGCTGAATGTGAATATGCACATTAACTCTCTGACAGTAGATGGCGATGATGGAACAGCAGAAATGCAGCTGTTACCCCGGTAACCCCCGTAAACAAAGCAGCTGTGCTATACTTTCTGTTTCTGAACAATAATGTTTCAAACACCCAATTCAGATGTCTGTATTTGCAATGGTGTTCATTAATTAATTTTTACTTGAATACTTAGACTTAATAGGCTATTTATTTTCAAAATTAGACATTTTTACATTTTCATCTGGACTAACATATCCTAGCCTAGGTATAACTTGAAAATATTCTGATGTTAACATTAGTTAATTTATTAGTTATTAGTAACTTAATTCAATACAGTGATAAAAGCTTCATCAATTATTATTATATGAAAATTTGATACGGGCACATGCATACTGTATATAAATTAGAGTGTTTTCAACTTGTATTTAGTGTAAATTATAACCCTAATTTAAAAAAATTATAACCCTAATTTAAATATCCAAGAACTATTTAAGATAAATATTGCAAAATTACTAAAAATGAATTTATTTTCTGGATTACAGTACATCACCAAATGTTCTTGTTCTGATGGATAAATTTACATCCCACCATAACCTGTTGCACTTGGAAATGTGTCACATTATGGAAGTAAAATACTACTGCTCAAAAGTAAAAATAAAAATAAAATAAAAGTCTGAAAAATTCATTTTTTTCAAATAAATGCTGTTCTTTTGAACTTTCAATGAATCCTGAAACAAAATATCACAGTGTCCACAAAATATTTAGCAACTGTTTTCAACATTAATAATATTTAGAAATGTTTCTTGCGCAGCAAATCAGCATATTGTAATGATTTCTGAAGGATCACGTGACACTGAAGATTCACTTTGCCATCACAGGAATAAGTGACAATTTAAAATACATAAAAATGTAAAACGGTAATTTTAAATTGTAATAATATTTCACAATATTACTGTTTCTACTGTATTTATTCATTAAAACAAAATCCTAACAAACTCAAAACTTTTGAATGGTACTGTATGTTGCCGGTACCGTATGCTTCATGTCGACTTCACCCTTAAACCTGACTCAATTACTTACTTCTTGTTTTCAAAAAGTCTAACTTGACCATAAATAAACTGCTTTAAATTCCAAGCAACTTGACAAGAGTTTCAGAGTAGCTTCCACAACAGAGAAATTGACATGAGTATGCAGATAACATTTCAATTGCACATAGAAGTGTTAGGTGATGCATTTCTATCAAGTTATACACATTTGTAGGAGCACGACCACATTCAAGATTAATTTCTCTTCCAAATGCAGAGACTAACCCAAGGTCACATGAAGTTATATTTGTATTAGTACAGTACACTACACAGCTAAATTAAGCAGTATGAAGTGATAAGGATGTGAATGAGCACACACACACACAGTGCTGATGGGTTTAGGGGTGTGTGTTAGGATGGCATCGGTGGTTCCACTAAAGACAGACACGACCTAGACAAACATACAGTCAGGCAAAGATTCATACCTTCCAGGATGTCTGAACACAAGTCACCAATGCAGGGAGAAGTGGAGGAGAAAAAGACAGTATTGAAATGCAAAACATGAGAGGTAAATAAGTAGATAAATGGAGTTTCACAACCCTTCAATGATTTTAATCAGTTATTGGAAGCTAAACAAAAGGATGAAGGAGTAATTCCTTAAAAGAGAATTTGGATTTAGTAACATTTTTCCAAACCGCTAAAAGCCTCACATTTCAAAGCCTCAATGTAAGCCAGTGTAAACCTTCAGTGCAGTTATTTGATATCACAGTAGTTGTACATTTCATAATGTACTTATTTTGGCTTCAAATTCAAATTCTAAAAGTACACACATATATATATATATATATACATACAAATATATATGAAGAGTTTGGTTCCAAAACGCGATAAACGCCATTTCTAAAAAAAAATTAGTTACTACAAAAATCAGTGTTGTATCTGGTTGGTATTGAAAAGTCAATGTTTAATTTTAAGTAAAATGCGATATCCGCCGTGTTATTCTGTCATGTTTTCTCCCTTTCTTTCCAAACCGTGACAAACGCCAGCCTCCCTTCTCTGCAGAATGCGATATATCCGCTCTCAACCAATCACAACGGACCATTCCACGCAATGTAAACAGTAACGGCAGCACCTTAAATACACCCGGCTTCCTAGTTTTTCTTATCTATTTTGTACTTTTCGATCAACAAACAAACAAAAAAATGAATAATTTTGACGGCATTGATGAACCTGTGGTTGTTTCTGCGGTGGGTAAGAAACATAAGGCATCGAAATCGAATCATTTACGTGAGGAGATTAAGAAGATGAGGCACTCGGGAGGAGAAAAAATGTTTTCAATCTTCTTTACAGTTCTTAATAAAAATATTATACTAATAAACTTACGTTGTTGTGTATTTTCAACAGTTTCAATATGAATTTTTTTTTTATATATTGATTCAATGGATTTAATTGCATTTTGATTTAAAAATTTTTTTGATTTATTGCATTTTGGGGACAAAAATAATCCGTTTTTATAATAAATCTTTGAAAATCAAAACCTGGATTTAAATTTTTTTTTGTTATTATGACCTACAAATGCTATGTGAAAGTTTGAAACAGAAAATAGTGGTTTTCATCTTTCCACTTTCTTGGTAAAGAAAACACACTTTTACTCAAATTAATCTAAATGGATTTATTGCATTTTGGAACCAAACTCTTCATATATATATATATATATATATATATATATATATCAGGCCAGTCAAGTTCCTCCACACCAAACTCACCCATCCATGTCTTTATGGACCTTGTTTTGTGCACTGGGGAGCAGTCATGCAGGAATAGAAAAGGGCCTTCCACAAACTGTTTCCACAAAGTTGGAAGCATAGCATTGTCCAAAATGTCTTGGTATGCTGAGGCACTAAGATTTGAATCCACTGAGCTCTTCAGAACGACCCATTTTTTTCCACAAATGTTTGTAAATGCAAGTGGTCCAATTGAAACACTTGAATTCCCAATACTTTTGCTCATATACACAATTATAGCGCCCAGACGTAAGATTTCTATGACTACACAAATCCACTCACCGATCTCTTCTTTACAGCCCTCTATCTCCAGCTGTAGTGTGTCCTCTAGGTTTTCTTTCAGACACTGCTCTGCCTGAATCTGCTCCTTCAGGAACAGAATTTCAGCCTTCAGCTTCTCCTCCAAATGCTCCGCCGCTGTGCATGCAGAAACAACGTCCTCCCTGTACTGCAACACCAGCTTCTGAAGTTCCTGTGTGGAAAAATGACAAAAAAAGACTATAAAACCGCTAAAAGCTTTTAAGGATTATTCTATATGTCATTTATACAGTCAGTGAAGAATATTCAGTGTTATTTTACGTTTGATTACTTTCTTCAATTATGTACCTGAAAACCTGTTAGACCAACCTGAAAAGAAGTTTATTTAAAGGGGCTATATGGAACTTTTTCCCCAAAATAAACGTAACAATAGCCTTTTTATTTTACCATTTATGACTTAAACATCTCCTGATGAGCATACGGACACCTTGCCCGCTCACATTGGGTGCACCTATAAGCCTGTATCCTATTTTTCCTATTTTCTGTCGGGTCGGATTTTTCCCGCGCTGTCTGCGGATGTGACGTCAAGCGCGTTCATGTTAAACGTTTCAGATCACTCTGCCACCACCGCTAGTCAGCAAGTAGCCTACATTCGCAAGCAGTGACCCAGAAATGGCTTTTTTTCTTCTGAAAAGGTAATACGTGATAAAACTGTTCATTGAAATAGCACTGTGTTGTTTTCAGTTCACTTGTAAATGCTGTTAGTGAAGTGTGCACGTACGAGCGCGCGCTGCGAGAGTGAGCAGAAAGGAAGAGCAGTTCTGTTTTTTGGCCACAGGTGTCAGTCGCGAGTTTAAATTTCAGAAAAACGCATATAGCCTCTTTAATTTGAAAATTTGTTCTATTGTATTTATTTGTGTTGATGACTGTTTACTTAAAGGTGCATTGCGCAACTTTTCATGTTAAAAATACCTGTTTTTCTATCCTATACATCCTTAAAGAACTGCCTGATGGGCTGAATGACCCCTTCTCTGCACACTGAGATTGCCTCTATAATCCTGTACAGTAAAATATATAAGAGGGATTCGGGCTCGAATTTGAGACTGGGCGTGACGTCATGCGCGTTCACGCTCACCAGGCTATGTCTCGCAGGTTTGTGTATTCGCCGCCGCCGCCATTCTCCGCATCAGCGAAGACAACTCGTGCGTCAAAGGTAGAAGATGGATTCAAAGAGACCGGCTTGTAGTCCATTCCAAACCCCAACGCAAACTCCACGTAAAGTAAAGAAAAGAACATTTTTGTCTAGTGCCACCAAAAGGTCCAAATTGGAGTCAGACAGGCGTCGGAGTAAGACGAGAGTTAACCTCAGGAAGGCATTCAACAAATGGAGAGATCTCCGGTCTGCTCTTGGTCTCAAACGGGATCCTCAGTTGGCTTTTTTCTTGATAAAACGGTAAGATATAGCCCAGTCTCTAATGTTTGATACGGCAAATCTATGACAACAAATGACGATGCGTAAAATGTGTAATGCTTTAGCGTAAGCTAGATAAATGTACAATCAGATTTGGTTTTACTACCATTGTCAGTGAACAGGTTCATAAACTAGGAATTGTCTTCGGAAGAATAGTACAACATAAAACATATCCCATAAAAGATGCTAAAGTTACCTATGTTTTTGTGTATGACCTACCGGTAGCCTTGTGTACTTTGCTAACATGATAAGGTGCTCATGTCCTTGACCAACAAGGAAGAACGCCGTTGCATTGGCTATATTTTCTTTTTCGTAAAAAATAGTAAATTGTTCCCGGGAATGTGAATTCGGCGGATTAGCCTGTTTGGCTTTTACAGTAACGTCATAGAGCCATTTGATTGTTTATTACCGTGAGACATTTGAGTGTACTTTGTTGACCAACTGTGTATGGTATGATTATTATTTTGAGCTTTTACAAAGTAATAACTTATATTGTTCATGAACGTGTTTCCATAATAATACACTCTTAAGTGGATACAGTAAACACATAAAACAGTTCAACATACATGGAGATAGATGGAAACAAAAACCGAACTTTTCTACTACCCCCGTTTTCCCCTCACACATAAGTGTGTAATTTACTCAAATGCCTTTCCTTTCATATATTTAAAATGACTTGCAGATTTATAACTTTATTACCTCTGAAGACATTATGACTGTCAACAAAAGATTTGTGCGGCTGATGCTCTTTTGGTTATGAACAGCTCGTGCAAGCGTGCGTGTGCATGTGATCCATGAGCGTGCACATCTCTGGTTGCAGTTTCGCTTGTCGCCAGAGGGGGCACAGTTCTGCAAAAACTCAGAAACCTGCGCTATGCACCTTTAATAATCTTAAAGGGGTCATATAATGCCATTTTTGTACAAGCTAATATGATTCTTTAGGGTCTAAATTAAAACTTTGTAATATACTTTAATTAAAAATTCTCATTAGTATTGTAAGAAAACACTTATTTTACCTGGTCAAAAACAGCTCTGTTTTCAGCACGCCGTTTCAGTGCATATGACTTTAAATGATAATGAGCTTTGCTCACCCCGCCTCTCTGTTCTGTGCTTACACCGTTTGTAACACAATAACACAATAACCATAACGCGTTGTTCAGTATAAACGTGGGATTATGAATTATATTGAGAACGTCGTACATAGAAAACATGCCGTAATGTACCCTGAGTGTAAACCTTAGCCGCATTCATTGTGAAGTGTGCAGCTAGCGATTTGCAAAGATATAAATATTAATATAAAGTTTAATAAAACGTTACACTCACTTCAGTTCTTCTGGAGATTCAGCAGGAACACGAATATCTGGTACCGATCCTTTATTCATGGCAGCTTCTTCCTTTATTCGAGCAGCTTCTTAGCAAATCCAGCTTTATACTGATCCTCGTTTATAAAGCAGTCTGGTGTGAAATGATTCGCGCAAACATGAAAGCATTGACGTTGCTCGTGGGGAATATTCCCTTCGAAAACAAACTCAGCCACTGCGTCTTCAGCGGTTCGGATTTAGGAACATTAAAATGACTGCTGTGTTCGTTATTACACCCAAGAATAGAACACCACAATCGCTTAGACGCCATTCTGCTCATAGACAGTGCTCCAGCATTTCAACAATGACCGCGCCGGTCCGCGCAGACTATGATTGACAGCTCTCACGAGCGAGGGCGGGTCTGTGTTGAAACACTCCAGTCAATCAACAAACGTGGGAGGGGCGTCCGTTTTATTGACGTCACAAAAACGAACGGCTCTATTTGAGGCAGGGGAAAACATATAAGGAGATTAAAACAAAAACACTGGATGGATTTTTATCATTATATGATGGTTGTGTACAGGCACTGCCAACACACATTTCAGTACAATCAACTTGTAAAAGTGCATGTACCATTATATGACCCCTTTAATTATAATTTAATTTTATATACGCTAGTCCTTATTAATATTACATAGGCTAGTTTTTGCTGTAGTAACAAAATTGGAATCGAGAGCTGTGAAATTTCACTGGTACCTGAAATTTGGTGGCATAACCTTATTTATGAAAACAATAACCATTTTAATTAATTAATTAATTAATTAATTACTTTTATGTGTGGTGGGGCAGGTAAATATTTTAACCATTGGCCCGACCTTAAATCCTTAACGTTATACCCTGGCAACTCTCATACGTGCTGTAGTACCTGTACAGTGGTCGGCATGTGAAAGTCCTCTTGCTGCTGCAGCGTCATGTGAAGTCTGTGTTTACCCTGAAGACTCTCATTATCTTTCTGCAGTCTGTTCAGCTCTTCAGTCACCTGCTCCCTGGACTGTAGCAGCACAGCCTGGATACACACACACACACACACACACCACTTAACCTACAAAACCCACTGCAAGCCACAAATGTTTTCTAAAGCATATATCCATTTAAAGTGGAAAACGATCCATTATAAAAGAGGATTTTCAAAGAAAACGGCCAATGAAAATATCAATGTGACCCTGAGAGATTCACTGCGCATTCCTCAGGTAATAACTAACCGACAGAACCCTTTCCAGAGCGATTTATTCTGGGGATCATGTCACACCAGAATTAAGTTTATAACTTTAATAGTGCAACTTCAGATTTCAACCAGATGTGCCTCAAGCAAGCGCAGAGACCATGAACATATTGCAGCCAATAGTGGATGCCAAAAGACACTTTAGAGCATTAGTACATGAAGAAATTGAAAATAGGTCTAGATCTATACCGAGAGGTTCTACATTAGATGTTTTTCAATGGAAAAAACTAAGCATATGCTCTCTCAAGTCCTCAAGCAAACACGTGAATGTTTTTGTGTAGTGTGTAAGTGAGTGTATTTGGTCATACCATCTGTTCCTGGGTGTTCCTCTTGGCCTGGCTGAAGGCCTGTTGGAGAGCGCTTACGAGAGACTCAGACTCCTGAACCTTCTGCTTCAACTCTAAGATCTGTGAGCCAGACGAATGAAAATTACTGAAGTCGTTTGACTTGGATCAACAGTAACATTCAGAGCAGTCTGTGCATTCTTCCCATTTAAACACTGGCTTTGTTTAAAACAGTAGTCAGCAAAGCAATATCGCCTTGTAAGGTACACTAGTGTTAAAAAAGGGTTGATAAGAGTCTTTTTTTTTAAACATTAAAAAATATATATATATCTTATTCTCACCAAGGCTGCATTCATTTGAACACAAATACAATAAAGACAGTAATGTTGTGAAATATTACTACAATTTGAAATAATAGTTTTCTATTTCAATACGTTTTTTAAATGTAATTTATTCCTGTGATGGCAAAGCTGAAATTTTCAGCATCGTTACTCCAGACTTAAGTGTCACATGATCCTTGAAAAATCAGTCTAATATGCTGATTTGCTGCTCAACAAACATTTCTTATTAATATTCATGTTTGAAACATTTGTATTGCTTAATAGTTGTCGTCGTCAATCACGACACTTTTTCAGGATTCTTTAATGAATAAATGCTGTTTTTTTTTAACTTTCTATCTTTTTGATGTGAGGAACCATTTTAAAGATGTAACATTACAGCAGTTTCCTCACTGTATATGATCCTCCAATTACCACATGTGATCCCATCCATGTTTACCCTGTCAATGTGTTTGTGCTTCACTAAATCCATCAGAGAGATCAGCTTTACCTTGGCAGTAGTTTCCTCATTGGCCTGTTTGATAGAGTCCTCTAACTCCTGCCTCTCGCTCATCGCCCGTTCCAGCTGATCGTTCGCCTGCCGCAACATGACCTGAAGCTTTTTAACCTGAAGGCAGAGGAAGTTCACTGTGTTAAAATTACTACAGATAATCCTTTTGAATAATTTCAATAGGGGTCTTGTACGTGATTTTAAATGGAACAAAAAGTCAAACCTGTTCTCTCGTCTCGGCCTCTTGTCCCTGCATGACCTGCAGCTGTTTCTCATAATTAGAGCACATATCACATCGGCGCCCCAACTTCCTTCCAGCGTTCTTCAACTGAGGTGAAACAACACCAAAAACAAGCATAAAATGTGTTATGAAAGGTTGGCATATTTGCTGATCCATTAAAAACAATCGCATGCTACATTGTCACGTGAACTTGTTACATGGCATGTTTAATTCAGAAAGCAGTGTCGGCTTATCCTCTCACACTTTATCACCTAAAGTTCACAAATCTTCATCACACTGATTCAAACAAGTAGCTAACTTCTGAGCTTGTGACATTTTTTAACAACTTACAAGAACCAGCTCAAGAGTCATTTGTCATTTGAATTGAACTATACTACTGGTTGTGCTTTGTTTCTGATTCACCAAAAATAACCAGCTCGAAAGATTCATATGTTTATGAAATGAATGCCCTGTCCAAATACCCACACTTGCGGTCTTGGCCACTTGAGACAGGAAGTGCGTGCGAAGTTTATTTTAAAAAGCAAAGTATTGAAAATAAAAATAAAGCTCTGTAAACACTTGCTTTTTTTGTAAGACTATAAGTGTGTCACAATGGGTAATCAAAAGTTCTACACACACTTGCCGTCTTCACGCCTACTTGAACACTTGGGCCAAATACAGGAAATACGTCATGCAAGTAGACAAGTGGTCAAGTGCAAAGACCGCAGTGTGGGTATTTTGGACAGGGCAGAACTACACTGGTTGGGTTGGATTTCTGATTCACTAAAAAAAAACCCAGCTCAAAACAGTCATTTGTTGGTGAATGAAACCCACATACTAGTTGTGCTTTGTTTCTGATTCACCAAAAAGGACCGGCCAAAAATAGTAATTTGTTTGCACTTTGTTTCTGGTTCACTAAAAAGAACCAGCTCAAAAGAGAGCCATTTGTTTGTGAAATGAACTACACTGGTTATGTTTCTGATTCTTCAAAAACAACCGGCTCAAAAGAGTCATTTGTATGCGCTTTGTTTCTGATTCACTAAAAACAACTGGTTTAAAAGAGTGTAGGTTTCTTATGGCCATATAAAAGCATATGTAGCACAAGTAGGTCCTACATAAATCCAAAAGAACTGATATACTGCACACAGTATAAATACTGCGTCATTCAAAAATATTACAAGCAATATGGATGGTTTTTGTTTGCTATTCCAAACAACCTTAAGTCTTCTTTTAGATCACACAGAGTTCAAACTAGACCTCTCAGTCATCGAATATGAAGAAATAAACAAAAACAGCAATTCAAAGCATTTACTATCTGACCTCTTGCTGGAGCAGATTCCACTCGCTCTCGCTGACCATTCGGTAGCCAGTCGGAGGCAGGTAAGCCGTATCGGTCATATGAGAGATGCTGGACAGGAGTGATGCGGTCTCCTCCTGCTCTGGGGTCATGGCCTTAATGGCCTTCTCCTGGTCCTTGGTGAGGAGGAAGTGTCCCGGGTGGAGGGATGATAAGGAGGAGTTGTCCATGCTGTCAAAGCCCACACAGTCTGCCCCCACTAGAGGACCAAAGTCTGACTCGTCCAGCTGGCTGGCGGACTTGGCCTTGTTGTTGTGTCCGCCCAGACCGTGAGGCTGTAAGGTCCCTCCTGAAGAACCAAGACTGTCTGTGGACTGAACCCTCCGAAGCCCGTCTTTATAAGGGTCAGAGCCGTCCGGGCGGCCCGGGGTGTCTGCGTCCAGAGAGTGCAAAGAGCTGTGGATACTGTGGCTGAGGTGGGACTGAGATCAAAAAGAGAAAGAGAAAACAAGATGCCCTGAAAGATGCTTTAAGATAAGATAAAGAACTTGTTACAGTTCATAGTAGTGATGCACCAAAATTTTGGTGACTGAAAACGAATTTGAAACCGAAAAAGTTTTGGAGGGCTGAAATCATTAACAGAAACGGTGACATTTAATTAATGCTTCTCCGATGGCACGTTTTGCCTGTGTCAGAGTCTATTTTGTGCACACAACGTGGATAAGCTATAAGAGATAAATCCGCTAGGACACTAGGGCTGTGGACAATATAATTTTCATTTTAGTGAACTTTTTCAGATATGTTATATGTCTTTTTGTGAATGTAAAAGGTTTAAGATCAAAGTGCACAATATATGCAGTTGTTGTCTCCCAAAGAAAGAACCGATTCAGAAACGAACTGCCTAAAACAAGTCATCAGTAATTCCAGTCTTACTTCCTGCACAAACCTACTTAAGTTTGTAAAAAAATTGCATAATGCCAATGTCTACTTTAATCCACAAACACTGTAGTTGTAGCTAAAGCCTGGAAGTTTAGTTTGTGTTGTTGACATGTTGATGAGACACTATCGCGGTTGCGTTCACATGACATTGCTGTGCTGCGCGGTCGTGAAAGTTTATCATTTGCATGCGTTTTTAAACATTGCTGTTTAAAAAAAAATTCTCAACTGTTGATGCACAATAAGCAGTGAAAGAGAACTTATGTTGTTATATACTGGCGCTGTCTGAGAGACGCGCGCACATAAAGGCCGCTGAGAGTAGATCGCATGAATAACAAACCGAATAATTTTTGCCGCCTAATTGGGCTTGAAAGGTTAAATACACATACTTATGTGTCAAAATGCCTGTTTTTGCAAGTATCCTCTTAAGCACTGTTGTTCATGTCTTAAGTGAACATAAACAGTTGAGAAAGAAAACACGTGAATGAATATATTGGATCCATACATTGGGTCTTAAAGTGACAAAAATTAATATCCCTGCTGTTGTCTATTTCATCATTAATGTAAAAAAAAATCAAAAAAAATCTCACTGCTCTTGACTGAATCACTTTGGTAACTTTAATAAGAATAAATGTATATTTACTAGTGCTGTCAAACGATTAAAATATTTAATCGCGATTAATCGCATTAATGTCATAGTTAACTTGCGATTAATCGCATTTAATCGCACATTTTAATCTATTCTAAATGTCTCTTGATTTGTTTTTGTCCCATTATTTTTTCTCATTTTAATGCTCTTATCAACATGGAAAAGTGGATCGGCTTGCTTTGTGCAAATGTTTTTTATTGAAAACAACATTGGCATATATTGTGTTCAATTTCACACTAAAACATTCTTACTTGGAGCAAATAATCTCTCACACAATGTAACACTGTCCATCAATAAAAGGGTGAAAGAAATACTGACGAGGTCCTGATATTGACGAGGGGGCGGAGAATTCGCATCAGCTGTGTGCGTGTGTGTGTGTTTGGCCATCATCAAGTGGTGTTTCAGACTGGACGTGCTGCGATGACGATAGCTCAGTTCACAACGACAAAACACACAGATCACTTTGGTCTTGTCAATGGAACCATTTGGCAACTTTTTAAAAGTAAACTTTCCATTCAGAATCTTATTGGCATCCATTTCGGCGTCTCGCGCTCGTCATCCACTCAAAACTGGACGTTTTGAACGTTCCTATAACATTCAGAAATAACGTTTTTATAACTTAATGGGAACGTTATGAAAACGTTCTTATAACCTAAAATTGTTAGCTGGGGAAGAGGAGAGATTCGCGATTGCACTGAACACGTTTTAAGTGCAGGCATATTCTCTGAGCGAGCCCAGAGAAAATTCTTACAAGAGCAGCGTGTATCTGAGAGCGCGCGACTCGAGCAGAGAGATTCGCGCTCGCGCATCTGGCTCGCAAGCCCAAAAAAAGTGTGTGCGGCGTGCCTGTTGTTTTGTTTCCGGTCTAGCTAGATCCGCTTGCGCTTTCAAAACGTCCATGCCGCGTCCTGTTGCAAAAGCATGTGAAAAAAACCAGCAAAGTTTGCTAGGCCAAAAAGACCGTTAATCGCACGATAAAAAAATTAACGCCGTTAAAATGGGTTTGCGTTAACGTCGTTAATAACGCGTTTAACTGACAGCCCTAATATTTACACAATGAAGACTGCAGTTTTTTTTTAATACATTTTCTTTATATAATTAGTTATTATACACTCACCTAAAGGATTATTAGGAACACCTGTTCAATATCTCATTAATGCAATTATCTAATCAACCAATCACATGGCAGTTGCTTCAATGCATTTAGGGGTGTGGTCCTGGTCAAGACAATCTCCTGAACTCCTGGCATGGTTGTTGGTGCCAGACGGGCCGGTCTGAGTATTTCACAATCTGCTCAGTTACTGGGATTTTCACGCACAACCATTTCTAGGGTTTACAAAGAATGGTGTGAAAAGGGAAAAACATCCAGTATGCGGCAGTCCTGTGGGCGAAAATGCCTTGTTGATGCTAGAGGTCAGAGGAGAATGGGCCGACTGATTCAAGCTGATAGAAGAGCAACTTTGACTGAAATAACCACTCGTTACAACCGAGGTATGCAGCAAAGCATTTGTGAAGCCACAACACGCACAACCTTGAGGCGGATGGGCTACAACAGCAGAAGACCCCACCGGGTACCACTCATCTCCACTACAAATAGGAAAAAGAGGCTACAATTTGCAAGAGCTCACCAAAATTGGACAGTTGAAGACTGGAAAAATGTTGCCTGGTCTGATGAGTCTCTGTTTCTGTTGAGACATTCAGATGGTAGAGTCAGAATTTGGCGTAAACAGAATGAGAACATGGATCCATCATGCCTTGTTACCACTGTGCAGGCTGGTGGTGGTGGTGTAATGGTGTGGGGGATGTTTTCTTGGCACACTTTAGGCCCCTTAGTGCCAATTGGGCATCGTTTAAATGCCACGGCCTACCTGAGCATTGTTTCTGACCATGTCCATCCCTTTATGGCCACCATGTACCCATCCTCTGATGGCTACTTCCAGCAGTCACAAAGCTTGAATCATTTCAAATTGGTTTCTTGAACATGACAATGAGTTCACTGTACTAAAATGGCCCCCACATTCACCAGATCTCAACCCAATAGAGCATCTTTGGGATGTGGTGGAACGGGAGCTTCGTGCCCTGGATGTGCATCCCACAAATCTCCATCAACTGCAAGATGCTATCCTATCATTATGGGCCAACATTTCTAAAGAATGCTTTCAGCACCTTGTTGAATCAATGCCACATAGAATTAAGGCAGTTCTGAAGGCGAAAGGGGGTCAAACACAGTATTAGTATGGTGTTCCTAATAATCCTTTAGGTGAGTGTATAATAGTATTTCTTATTTCTAGTCCTTTAAGTTTTTCAGGTAGGTCTATTTCATTTGCTCTATTATAGTTTGTTTTCCTATATGCTTGTCATTAGTTTCTTTGTTCTTATTTGATCACTGTTTATTAGTCTTCAGTAAGCTTGAAAGCCAGTCATGATGTAGGATGTTTTGCCACTCAGTCCAGCTGAGGGGGCGTGTCCCAGCAGGAAAGTGAAATCATACCATATATATATATATATACACAAACAGTATTTTAGCAATAACTGTAATCAGAGTGGTACAGTTGTCCCTTACATAATTACAGTAACTAAAGTGTTACCTTTAAATGAATTAAAGGCACTTTTAGTTCTAGCTTTAGTGAGGTTTTACAGAAGTGACATGGATACCTCTTCTATAGAGAGTCCGAGCAGAGAGTCCTCCACTGCGTCTGCATGCTCCGTCCCATCATCCTCACTTGCCTCTTTAGCCTGACTCAATCGCTCTTTCTCATCCTCCTCCTGGTAAAATGAATAAATGTTGGCATAAATGTCAGAATAACACTGAACTATCCAGATGCAACATATAACCATCATAGTCATAGATTTAAAAAGTTTATAATTTGGACATGTAGGCTATTGTCTTGCCAATTTACACATTCAAACAATTTTAATCGCGGAAGAAGAGCCGAAAACCGGGACTCGCGTTATCTGTGCGCACAGCCCCCAGCCACACACACTCGAAGCGCGCAGAGAGAGAGAGGCGCGTGTCAGACAGCGCTCGAATACAGAATTGATTCCTCTTTCGTGTTTCCTAGCCAGACACATAAACACAAAATTGTCAAAATACCCATCTAAATGACCATCTCGACAAGTATTCTCTCGTTTATGTCATATGTGAACAGTTAAGAAAGAAACGGATGTTTGTCAGTTCGTGCAGTCAGTCTTAAAGTGACAGCACACTTAATATTATATACTGTTTTCTGTGTCATTGATATTAATAAAACAAACAAAATACAGCTTTAACAAAGATGAAACTATATTTAATTTATACAGTGAACAGTGTTATTTTACATGTAGGCTACCAGGCTTAATTAATAATTTCTGTACCTGAATACTAGCCTACTGTTAGACTTTGTAAACTTTGTTATTTAGTATTTATCTCTGCTTGTAATTTATGTATTTGTTCTTATTTATTTAATGACTGTTCGCTTGTTTTAAATGAGTGAACTTTATCAGTTAGGCTAGTAGTTTTTAATGTAGTAGCTATCGAAAAACTTCAAGTGAGCTTTAAGCAACAAATGAAAAGCAAAGTTATTATAAAACTTATCTCAATTAAAAACTTATCTTAAACTACAGTATGAGATGGTTAAACACAAAACTGCTAAATCACAAAGTACCAGCGGCCAGATGAAACAAACGTCTATAAAAGCAACGCTATTCAACGCAACACCATACCCACAAATGTTGATAGGCTAGCGTTTCTTGCTAAGCATCTTTAATAGGTCTAGCCTGGCATAATACCTTTGAATGTTGTCCATGTTTAATTGTCATTTTTTATTTTTTAAATATTACATTCTTTTTGTTTACTGCATTTGTTTAAATTTTACTAAATCAAATAGTATTATATCTTATTTTGTTTCTATCTTGTTTGGTAACCTAATGTTCAGGGTTTGTAGATTTTTAAAATAATAAAGCTGTTCAGAATCGTAAGAGAATCGTGATCTTTATTCCAAGCAAAAAAAAAAAAATCATGATTCTCATTTTAGCCAGAATCATGCAGCTCTAGTTGCTCCTGCACTTTATTATACTGAATGCCGTGTTTTTTTGTTGTTGTTTTTTTGTACTTGAGTGCAATAGATTTTGGTTGAAAAAATGAGAATAGTGTAAGGGAATCGTGATCTCAATTCCCATGGAGAAAAATCGTGATTCACATTTTAGCAAGAATCGTGCAGCCCTAACTGTATGTTCACACCGCCGCCGACTTGAGCGTCAAAGAAGCTCTGGCCGCCCTGTCAAGGACGCTTGTCAAAAAGTACGGGGAAGCTTGTTGACGCTTTGGACGCTTTGAACGCTCTGACGTTGCAGGGAGAATAGAAGTGTCACAACATAAAATGTAATAAACAGAAAAAAAACTAGCAATACATTGAAGAAACCTTTTATAATGACAGCATGTTTATAACCGTTTTGGTCACATTTGGCCGGGGAAAAAAGAATAGTTAGCTATTATTATTATTATTTGCGGTCAAATCGGTGTCACCGTGAGCAAATGAATTGCATTCCCGCTTTAAAACGAGCGTTCGTAAATATTTCAAATAAAAGTTGCGCTCATGCGGTCCCTATAAGCAAACAACGTCATGTCATAAATGATAGGAAACCCAGCAACGGCGATTATTAGCTTCTCTTCCATTTTCTCGGAACTAATGTTTTGGTAGGAACTAAAGTTTACATTGTATGTTTCTCCGGAATCAGCCAGCACGAAGGACGTCTATATTTCGATTGGTTGCTGGCGTTTTGCCACTGCTTGACGCTGAACCGCATCACAGCTCATTACCATAAAGTTGAGCTTCTTTCAACTTTCTGATTGACGCTCAAAACGCTCAAAACGCCCCAAAACGCGACGCCAATGGATTTGACGCTCCTTGCAGCTGAGAAAACCCAGCTTCCATTGAAAATGAATGACTTCCGGCCGCTTTGGAAGCTCAAGTCGGCGGCGGTGTGAACGTACAGTAACTGGTGTCCAAAAATACCATGGCCACCATTGATTTTCAATGTACAGGGCGGAAAAAAAACCAACACTTTCAAAAAATCTTCTAAAAAAAAAAAAAAAGATCTAAATGAGTAAATGGTGACAATCTTAATTTATCCTTTTAATAAAAATTGTTGTTCATTTCTGCTGAGTAGTTCTGCCTACTATGAATATCTACAATCCCAGTTAAACATCAAATATGTTCTGGTTGTCAGAACTGTTGCTTTGTGTAGCATTTTAGGTTTTAGTGAGTCGAGAAAAATTCTTCATGCATGCTTTTATACTTCACTTGAGAATTGCTTAGAGTCTGTGTTTTTAATAACTGATTTAACTAATGCATCCAGTTCATTAAAAAAAAAAGGTACCTGGTCCCTCTTCTTCATCTCCTCCACCTGCCGCAGCTGCTCGGAGGACAGCACGCTCTCAATGCGCTGCATGTCTTGCATCAGAAGCCGCTGTGACTCCAGGAACTGATCGTTGGCACGCTGCCAAGTGTGTTTCAGCTGATTGTGCTGCTGCCGCTCCAACTCCAGCAGGTGAACCACTGAAAGAAACCAAATTTAATCAGCTGAAATTAACTGACTTGGTACTAAATATATAAAGCCCTCTGACCTGTAAGTACAAGCATTTTGCTTCCATTATAACTGCGTATTGCAAACAAAAAAAATGTCACGCCTGTACGAGTGACATCTGATCAAAATAAAACACCATCTGCACAAACTCATGCATCTATCCTTACAGTGTATAAATGACATTTCAAACTGTGATAAACAGAAGTTGAATACCATACAAGTCAACAAAGAAAGTGTGCAAAAGTTTATTGGCATGTAGAAGAGCATACACACAGGATGCATTCGTTCTCGCGAATGTTTCATATCCCCATTTTCCGAGCAAATAACACCATGAATGATGAATTTTATTTTACTTCATTTTTTTAGACTGATGAATTTTAAAGACAGCGTGTCATGTTAAAAAGTTTAACTCTAAAAAACAGGTTTTGTGACCTTGCATTGGCGCATACAAGATAGTGCTATATAGATAGTACCAATAATTACAAATTTGGGGACAGTATGAATTTATGTTATGACAAAAACAGTAATTGTGTGAAATATCATTCCAATTTATAATAACTGTTTTCTATTGTAATATATTTTAAAATGTAAATTCTTCCTTTGGTGGCAAAGCTGACTTTTCAGAAGTCTTCAGTCAGTCACATGATCCTTCAGAAATCATTCTAATATGCTGATTTGTTGCTCAAGAAACATTTCTTATTATTATCAATGTTAAAAACTGTTGTGATGCATAATATTTTTGTGGACACCATTATAACATTTCCCCCCATGAATATTTGATGAAAAGGAAGTTCAAAAGAACAGCATTTATTTGAAATAGAAATCTTGTGTAGCATTATAAATGACTTTACTGACACTACTGATCAATGTATTAGTTGAATGTGTGCTTGCTGAATAAAATAGGTAAAAAAAAAAAATTTATTATGTTTAAACAAAAATATTACTACATTTTTGAAAGGTAGTGTTTAGTCGCTTTTCAGCTTAATTAAAATAATAGAAAATAATAGCAGGGCTCAGACCAGAAGCGTGCGCACGCCTTTCACACAGCATGCGATTACGACTTCAGTTCTCTTTCGCGGATTATTAGATTTGAATAGTCAAAATTCTATGTAAAAATGCATGTCCTGGCGAGTATTCACGTAAACACAGTCGGGTATGTCTTTATTGAACGTAAACATTTGTAAAAATAAATACTATGTGTTCCAATGTATTGGCTACGTGCAGGTCTTAAAGGGCCGGACCAGCAGCATAATATTCTGTGTGATTAATGTTAATCAAAGAAATTGGAAAAAGAAAATAGACAATCACCCAAAACTTGACTGAATAAATGTAATCTATTTATTAAGAATCAGTCTATTGTTAAATTATAGAGTGAAGACTTTATTTTTTCAGCTACAGTAGGTCTATTTAATGGTAGCATTCAAAAAAAGAAATTAAGCACTTTATTTTATTAGTCTCATAGTATGTAATTTTGTTTGTAATTTTCTTTTTTGCTTATTTTTATTAACAAAGATAAAATCAAATGAATTATCAATATTGTAATTATAAAATGACATTTAAAAAAAAATTTAAATGACTCATATCTTGAAATAAGATTTTGGTCATCCCAACCTGTTCAGAATTGTGAAAGGTTAGCGAATGTTAGCATGATTGATAGGGAGGGAATGGTCAAAAAAGCAGAACAGGAACATGCTGGTCAAGTGAGTTTAATTAATTTATAAAACAATGAATTGTAAGTTCTGTCATATTTTTCAATTACTTTTACTGTTTTAGTTTTGTTCCCGTGGTATAGATTCAGTATCGGTATCAAGGTATTTCTGTCTGGTATCGTATCGAAGTCATAATTTTGGTATCATGACAACACTAGTATGATCTTCATTCTATTCATCAGGATAAGTGTCCATGTTTTATTAACAGTCTATTCATTTTGTGTATTTACCATGATAACTGTAGTTCCTGTAAACTTAAACCAAAATTTATCTTATTTTCTATATTTTTGATGACTGCGGTGGCTTATACCAACTTAATAACTTTATTTAAACTGTTTATTCATCAGTGTTAGTGATACTCTGACAATTTATGTGTGTATGTGAAGTTCTTGTGTGTGTCAACCACTTTTGAAAAATAAATTCGCTTGGTTCAAATTGCTAAAAATTTGGGTCACGGCTTAAATGACCATGGCAAAATGTGGGCGCCATGGCTAAACCAGTCGAGAACCACTGTTATATCTCAAGTATAATTTATACCTGTGTACAAGTAAGTAAATCAGTTGCACTTTATTTTACAGTATGTGCCTACAGTGTACCTGCCACAAAAGTACAGAGTAGTGTAAGGTGACTACATGGCTTAAGTTACCGTATTTTCCGCACTATAAGGCGCACTTAAAAGCCTTTAATTTTCTCAAAAAACGACAGTGCGCCTTATAATCCGGAGCACCTTATATATGGATGGTGAACACACGTTCACCAAGACGGGGAGACAGCGCCGGGCGACTTAGGCCACTATCTGGATCGTGAATGATCGTGGATGCCTGGACTGATATATCAGTCTCAACTGTGATCGGAGCTTTCACGAAGGCAGGAATAATCTCTTTATTCAGCCAGCTTACATACCCGTATTTACTTCCTGGTTTCGGTCGAAGTCCACAGTAGTTGATTGTCGAGTTCGCGCGTGATCAAACCTCCTCCGTGTGTTCAACATCTGATTCGGATGAACTATCCATTTGAGCTGATATTCTCAGAACACCACACAGCGCCGTCATCGGCTGACAGCTGACAGTCTGAGTCTCCACTGTTGCTTAGTTACCAATGATCGCGCGCGCGCACTCGACAATCGCCTACTGTGGACTTCGACCGAAAACAGGAAGAAAATACGGGTATGTGAGCTGGCTGAATAAACATCATTTTTATTCATATCTTTCACATTTACTGCAGTCAGATTCACCGTGTTCACTGTTCACTCACATGGCTGTGCACTTGTAATGACACATTAAGGTTGTTAAGAGGCTAAAAGCAGGTTTAAAACTTGCCCCGTTTAAGTCAACAGGGTGCAAATTTTAAAAAGAGGATAATAACACGGTGTAGGCAACACCGGTTTTTGTCGTTGTTATCTGTACTGACAGCACTCCAAATTTACAAAAAAATGAGCTCAATGTTAAAATTGACCAGAGTTCTCCTTTAACGTTTGAACAACGTTACCATGGGAGTGAACGGAGTTGTCAGAACGCTTAATAAAGTTTGACTTTATCTGACTGTTTTGTTGACATTCCCTTTAGCACATCTAGTGGATGCATAACGCAAACCCAGTCAAACGTTTGACTGCAGTATCTCATGCGCCTTATAATCCGGTGCGCCCTATATATGAAAAATGTTCTAAAATATGTCATTCATTGAAGGTGCGCCTTATAGTGCGGAAAATACGGTAAGTTTTAAGGGGAGATTCAGAGTAAGAACCTAATTAATGTCATTACAACAAGGAGATAGTATGTTCATGTGAAACAGGACTGTGAAATAAAGTGCTACCAGTAAATAAATCAATCGATTGAGCCCCTAAATATTTGGCGGTGCACTTTGGGGTCACAATAGCACCTAAACCAAAATGTAAATATAGACTGTACAAAGCACGATGCAACCTACATGAAATGGCCAACCAATCAAGCAAAATAAGAAGAAAATGTAGAATTACAAAAACAAATACAATATTCTATGAATTAAAACTTTTCAGAAATGTTTGCGTATAAAAACATTATTTTGTTCGCATACCTTCATGGAGTTCTTTCCGAAGTTTCTCTGCATCCTCTTGAAGGACAGATTTCTGGGTGTTGAGGACAGCAACATACATCTCTAAGTCTGTACGGCATGATTTCTCAGCCTCCAGGACGTGATTGAGTTCCTTCACCTGGGAAATAACCAAGCACATGTATCAAACTTCATTTTTCATGATGAAAAGTAAAAGCACCCATTAACAGAAGCATAATCTTGACATTTCATAGTCAAAAATATGGCTTAAAATAAAAAAAATTGGAAAAAATAAACTGGGAGACTTCAGATCTACAATCTTTCGACTTTACAGACACTGGCTCATTGACTTCCGCTAACTTTGACAAGACTCGACTAATTTATTACTCATTCCTGAAGCCATCACATAGTCATAATCATTACTAAAGGCTTTAATCCAGATGCAACCTTGATTAATTTGCCCAGGTGTGAATTTGCCTATTCATGAGGTCATGGCATAACCACATTAAAGGAATGCAATTACAAAGAAATGTGTCACGTCTAATAATAAATGTGAACAAAACAGTCTGGCTCTCAGTTCCACTTTTCTATGCACGTCTAACCTTGGCAGCCTCAAGTTCCTTAACTCGATCTTCTGAGCTTGACAGTTTGGCCTTCAGAGCTGCGATCTCGCTCTCCATTGGCATCACCACTGAACGTAACTTCTCTGCGTCCTCCTGAGCCTAGAATGACACAAACCTGAGCTTGATTAACAGACCAACATAATGCAAACACTGGCTTTGAGTCATGATTCTGAGACTAAAAAACAGGAACTAAAATCATAAAGTAGACGTATTAAAAAGCAAACCAGACCTTCTTCATCTCGTTCTCTAAATTCTCCTCCTCCTGTCCCTCAGTAAGACGGCGGCGTAGGTCAGCCACCTCTCGCTCCATCCCATCGCGGTACTGTGTCCACTGAGCGCGGTCCTGCTCCAACTTCTGCTGGAACTGCAACTTAAATTCCCGCTCTGCATCTGAACACGCACGTCAAGATAAGGATGTATGCATCAAAACGATGTTCACAGCAGATCTTGCTAATCCATCCTTGTCCAAATATAGTTTATTTAAGACGTTTATGATTCAACAAGAATCTGAACCCACAGAGGTACTGCAGCTTTCTGTCTGCACTTCTCTCTCTACAAATCATGCGTCTCTTGAATGTTCATTTATTGAAGGGGTCATATGAGGCTTTTTAATATTTCCCTTTTCCTTAGTGTAATGGATCTGTTTGTGCATGAACACGATCTGCGAAGTTACAAAGCTCAGTCTCCCACAAAGGGATTTATTCAATCAGAGAACACTCATCAAGACCTGCCTAAAATGCCTTGATCGAAGTCCAGATATTACTTCCGCTATGACCGTCCAAAGGCAAACGCAAAGAAAGAGGATTAGGCTTCAGTGAATTGCGGAGATGCTGTGTAGATGCAAAAGCAAAACCCATTTCTTTGGCCGTCCAAAAATAGAAGAAAACAGGAATCAGTTGTTAAGATTTATTTATAACGCTGTTCCTGAGAAGTTCAACACAAAAGTTAACTTGTGTAAAGCACATTTCACTGAAAACAGCTGAACCTGGGAGAGTACAACGCCGGCTTTACAAGAAAGTATGTATTTTATCTGTATTTTTTGTCACCTCAGGATTTAAATTTGTTACAGTGAAGATGACAAATTAAACTTATAACATCATATCTGAAAGGTAAGAGAGTTATGAAAAAATTATCCCACTGTGAATTGTTCTGCACGACGTCATTCTTTGCAAAGCATGCCTGATCATCCGTATTTTTAGAATCTGTCATTGGCCCGAACTGATGCGGTAATACCGACACCATTATTAACTGTGTGGTTATATTTGCTTTAGAAGCCTTGAAAGCTGAAGCTCACCATTATGGCAAGGGGCGTTACATTTCAGACACACACTTCATGTGTTTGGGCAATCACAATGCACTGGGTGAGCTGTCCAATCAGAGCACTCTGAGGCTTTGTAGTAATCAGCGCATTTCAGACAGACTGGGAATAGAGGAGCTGTAATAATGTACAGTATGTAAAAAATAATGTGTTTGAGCATTAAAGCATGATCCATTACACCCAATAAACAAAACAAAAAAGGGACTTTTAAAACATCATCATATGACCTCTTTAAGTATATTGGCTAATTTGACAATACTGTCAGCTACCAACCAACATGAGCGAAGTGCTTAACTACATTAAATATTTTACTGGAGATAGAAAGGTATACAAGCACATAACTAAAAAACATATCTTTAACAAATACACACACTGCTGGACAAAAGTTTGGGTCAGTAAGATTTTTTAAAATGTTTTCTGAAAGAAGTCTAAACCAAGGCTGCATTTATTTGAACAAAAACACAGTAAAAACTGTAATATTGTGAACAAAGCTGAATTTTCAGAAACATTACTCCAGTCTTCAGTCACATGATCCTTCAGAAATCATTCTAATATGCTGATTTGCTGCTCGAGAAACAATCCTTATTACTGTTCAAAACAGTTGTGCTGCTTTTTTTTTTTTTTTTTTGGAACCTGTGATGCATTATTTTCAAAGTTCTTTGATTAGAAGGTTTAAAAGCAGGGTTTTTATCTTCAACTAAAACTATTTAAAAAAATTAATTGAAGTAAAGCTGAAATAAAATATAAATATTAGATGAAACACCAAAAACAAAAATTAAAATAAAATGAAAAACAAATTTTAAATGTCTTGGCAACTAATTGAAATAAACACTAAAATTACTAACTGGAAATAAATATCTAAAACTGAACTAAAACCAAAAGGAAAAGGAAAATAAATTAAACCAAAATAGTAATATTAAAAATTATATTATTAAAAAATAATAAAATAAATTCACATGATAAAATTACTAAATAAATTAAAATTAAGATAAAAACTGAAAATATAAAACTAAAACCCAATTCAAAATAATAATAAAAAATACAATAGTATACAAATACAAAAATAACTGTTTAAAAGAGCATCATATATTTAAAAGAAATCTATTGTAACATTATACATGTCTTTACTGTCTCTTGATCAATTTAATGTGTCTGCTGAATAAAAGCATTTAATTAGAAAAAAAAACACATTGGTAAAACTAACGTAGAAAAAAGGGTGCCATCTTTTAAGTCTTTAATTGAGTGGCATAAAATTGTGCTATTTATGTATTGCTTGCAAAAGTTAACCATATTAGTATCGCAAAGCAGTTCAGTCAACTTCAGGGTAGTGACAAATGATTTAGTTATCGTTTCAAATAGCAGAAATAGCAGCACAATAAATAAAACTTGGTTCCGAGTATCGGTTATCAGACACTATTGCATAAAAATAATCAGTATCCGATTACCTTTCATAATAGCCTGCAGTGAGGCCACCTCCTCCTGCCACTGCTGCTTGACCTGGTCGATGGCTTCCTGCTTCGTGCTCTCAGAGACGGTGGCCACCGCTTTAATGGTCTCCATCTCCGCTTTAGCTTCGGCCAGCTGGTCCTGCATCTTGCTCACGTCTGCCTGGGCCTTCTCCAGTATAGCGGTCTGCTTCTTCAGCTCCTCTGAGAGATTTACAGGACAAGCACAAAGGTTTATGTAAAGTTCTGTAAAGCGAGTGTGTCCTAAATATATGATCTTTAACTAACTTAACTGGACCCTGTTTGGACCTATATTTATTGCTGTTCCTCTTGTGATCTGATCACCTGACACATTTACACCAGGTGTAAAAGGAGCCTTGTGTTCAGATCCCTGGTAACATTGTTTGAAATGTTTGAAACTTATCTGGTTTAGTACTTTCGTCCTGCCCCAGAACAGATTAACAATGAAATCATGAAACAATGATCTATGACAGCTAAACTGTTTGCTAGTTGTTCACTCTGTGTGCATCCAGGCGCAATGTGTAATGGATTTGGTTACTGTACATGTCTATAGAAAAGGTAAGAACTGGTTTGAGAAAAAGTCAGCGAGTGTAAAACCCACATTTTTTTCCCTTTAAAAGGTGCGGTAAGCGATTTCTGAGAAACACAGTTGAAAGTGTTGTTCCTTGTCATTCGTTCATCATCTTTGCTTTATTTTTCTTCACTTCTGCTACGATAAAGAGACATCTACTCATGCATTGCATGTTCGTGCATTTTGGGGGTGGGGCAATGAAGGGAGGGGTGTGTTTGGGTTGATTGATTTCAAATATCAACAGTGTTCAACAATGATTCTAAGAAACCGCTTACAAACGCACACATAAGGCAAAAATGATTTCCAAGAAAGTGTTCAGATTTCTTGGAATTACAGTGGCTCCAAAAAGGATACTTGAGCCATGCATCAAAGTATGTGACTGTCACTGAATTAGATAACTTTTCACAAAATTAAGTTAGGTTAGGTTTAATTGATTAAACAAGAGATACTTTTAGTATACAGATATACTACAAAATGAAGGGATAAAGTGAACACATTGGAGACCTTCAAATGTTAGTGGAACATGTTTATAGCTAATGTGATGAACTACACCTCTGGTTACTCTGCAAGGACACCTATGTAAACTTCATACAGCCAAAAACTACATTAAATAAACAAAACAAAAAAAGATAAATACTAAAAAATCAAACAAAAGTAAATAAGACAAAAATAAACAACCAAAACAATCAAAATAAATAAAACAATAAATGAATAACACAAATAAATAACAAATAAATAAATAAATAGTGAAGTTAGTTTTAAAAAAACTCTAGCGGCATTTATTTGAAGATGCAACTGATGTTAAGAAATTCAGACCCTTTCAGATTCAGTTTTCTGTCTCTTACTGGTTTATCAGCAGTTATTGTAAACAATATATTACCTTCTTTAGACAGATAAAGTTCCTTAAACTTGGCCCGCTTCTGGTTAAACTCCATCTCCAGCTGTTGTTTGAGCTTCAGGAAGTCGGTTCGATCCTGCTCTTGCTCTTGCTCCAGAACTCCTGCAAAAACAACACATCGTCCATCGGTGCCACACATTCACAAGCATCTACACCTCCAACCTCTGAATGGCACTTTGGCCAAGAGTAAAATATGAGTAAATATTGCATGATAATGGGACATTTTCAATGGCAAAAAGAGAGACTGAGACAACCATGCTTGCTTGGCTAGATATAATAGTGTAAGCAATAAAAGTATTAGCTCTCACTGAGATTAGGATAAAGCAAATCCATTTAAAGAACTGAAACCTACAACCAAAACCACTTTCTTTAGTGATGATGATCCTTAAATCATTGTAGACAAGCAGTGTATTATCCAAGTAAACAAGTACAGACTCTAGTGTCAAGTCCAAGCCAGTACAGCCACATACAGGTCAGTCAACCGCAAGTCTGTCCTGACAGGTCACACATCTCTCTATCATTGGGTTTTACTGTTATTAGGCCTAAATACAAGATTTTACAAAAACATATTTGCAGCAAAGTCTTTGGAACTGTAAAAGACGACTACACCCAAAGCAACCACAAGCCTTTAGGGATGACAGATGGTTGTTATCTGTATCTGAACTTAACCTACACCAAAAAAAAAAATGTCGCTCAACTGGATCAATGCACAAGTGCATGCATAGATTTGCATCAAAATAATTTGATGATAATCTCTCTTGAGATATACCTAATCACCATATTTTGAAAAAAGAAACTGCAGGTTATGGAGCACAAATAATGGTTATGTTTTCCCATAAGTCCATCTTATCACAAACTTATGTGTAATATTGTTGTTAAAGTGATAAAGTAGACTTATGCAACATATTCTACTTCATGAAGTATGCCCCAATAATGGCATGTTCTAAAAAACATTTTTTTTTTTGTCAGTGCAAGGTAATGCTTGTGGCATACACATCAATCCATGATTAAAATCAATATGTCAATCAAACCACTATATTAAAGTAAATGCACGCAAACAATGTCATCAACATTACAAACAAGAACCTGTAAACACGATATTAAATCACTTCAAATACATAAAAAACAAAAACCACATTCTGTCCTGATAAACACTGTCAGTCCAGCTGTCATCTGCTGATCACTGGATGCAACATCATCATGTTGACCATATAAACACTTTTCTGTGTAACTTACCGAAAGATCAGCATAGCAAGTGTTTTGTGCAAGAAGAGTTCTGTCAGAAGCATCGACACATATCAAGCATTAAAGCATAATTTGAGAACGTTTTAATAAATATGCAAATAGAGGTGTAGGCTATCTGTCAGCCGGTTGACTGTTGCTGGCTAATCCGTGGACGAACAGGCCGCAGGCCTACAACGAGCACAGCTAAATCAGCACAATAAACCTCTCTTTGTGGAGAAAGACGCTTACCGTCAGGTTGAGGCGGCCGGGTGGATCCCGAGGCCTGCTCGGCCATGGTTTCCCGGGGCTGAGTTTAGAAAAGCGGCTCTCTGAACGGAAAGTGAGAAGCGCCCAGCAGAACAGGCTAATAGAGACAGAGCAACGTCATTGTAGAAATAACACGCACTGCGCATGCGCACACCAAATGGGCGGAGCTGTCTTGACATTACATCTGCGTTATTTCCATTCATTTATTTTATAAATGCAATTTTATTTATACTATTTGTATTGTATATGTGTCTAATTTATCATTGATTACATATATTAGTAGCATTTGTAATAAATACATTACAGTTTTTCTCAGTCGCTTTGGTGCATTTCTCAAATCATCCTTACAAAAATATTTGAAAAGAAGTATGTGCATTCTCAAAACAATTCGTATAAACAGCACCACACATTGGATTACCTGCAAAAGCCTGTAACCTACTCAAAATCTTTAGTTCATCTCTCAAAAGTAAGTATTTATGTCAATGAACATATCAGTGCCATCAGAATGAAAAGTCCTTGTTTCATTGTTCACAAACAAGATAGTCAAAATGCTTAGTCATGTTGTCAATAAAACACTGCACTGCATGTAAACTATGGCAACAGTTTGGATGACAGTTACAGTATTGAAATGTACAAAGCTGCGCTTCTTCTGAATGCCATATTCATTTCAAACGTACAAATTTACACACTACTTTACATGAGTTATTGATTGAAAGAGACTGGATAGGATCCACAGTTACACTTTTTCTAGTGGTCTGACAAAAAAAAAAACACATTACAATATTATTGTGATATAGACAAGAAAAAGAAATAGGGGCACAAAGGCGAAAATACAAGGCAAACACAGGAAAGACCCCTTAGGCTGAACTTTGCTTTTGCATGCAGCACTGTATATGCTTGCCAATTGAAGATGCAACTTTGAGCTATTTCAGAGAACTGGTTTCTCATTGTTTGATCTACATTCATTCTACTCTTCATTAGTGAAAGTCAAGATTCACCTGCACAATTCATCAATTCATGGCACATTTACAAAAAGTCTAATAGAAATGTGTAGAAAATATGCTTGACAGTTTATGACAACTAGATCAACCATTTTGCATTCATACGATGAACTAATGACTAGATTTGTTGAGGGGTAAGACTATTGCACAGATAACTATTTAATACATTTTGAGCAACATGGCATTAGCAACTGATAATGTAGGGAAGCAGACAATTGTACATAATCAATTGCATGAATGTACCAAAGCGATCGCAACTTGTTCAAAAGAATGAGAAACTGCTTTTATGATGTGCACAAGTGACGATGTGGAGGTTGAACAAGTTTTGAGAATTTCATTTCTGATTTGAGAAATGCACCAAAGCGACTGAGAAAAACTAGAATAAATAGTTCATTGAATATTTAGATACAACACCCAATATAACACAAAAATGCACTTAAAAAAAATGTATTCATAAATAACAACTCACAAATCATCCAGGAAATTTTACACATGCAGCACAGCCCCAATAAAAACAACCAACCAACCAAACTGAAAAAATACTGAATGTACAGCATAAAATGCCACTATACCACGATAGATAGATAGATAGATAGATAGATAGATAGATAGATAGATAGATAGATAGATAGATAGATAGATAGATAAACAAATAAATATATAAATACATATATACATAAATAAATTCATAAACAAATCACTAAACCTTCTAGCTAAACCATTCTTCTGTAGCATATATATATAATTTTTAATAAATTATTTAATGAACTATTCACTGAATGCTCAAATGCAACACCACCAACAAGAATAAATTCACACAAAAAATAAATTCATAAATAAATAGCTCACAAATAATTCAGTACTGTCAGATCGATTAATCGTGATTGATCATGTCTAACATAAAAGTGTTTATATAATGTATGTGTGTGTGTACATATGTTTTTTTACTTTACTGAAGGAAAATGAAAATTGAGCGGAAGTACGTAGGAGGGCGGAGCCAGGCTAGCGTTCAATTGCATGGGTGATTGAACTTGAATGGGCCCGTTGTCTGCAATTGTGACATTTACTACAACAACCAGAACTGAAGAGGGTGTTGGGAGGAACACTCGAGACTTTTTGGAGGGTGGTCCAGCCGCAGCGTGAGTTACTCCTCCCCTCTTCCTGGCACTTAGGAGGGAAAAGTTTAGGCTGGTGAGGCCGCCGCGAGGGCACTGTCGATGCTCAGGCGCTAGCTGTGGCTGAGCCGTCACTGGCACTGGATTGGCTGGCTGCTGAGTCGGCATTGCTTTTTGGAGACTCGATGCTGCAGAGCTGGAGTGCTTGGGCAGGAAGTGGCGCATTGCCTGCGAAGACTTCTGTGTCGCCATGAAGTGCTCGGCGAAGCCATCAACACCGGTGGTGGAGACTGGTGAGTCGAGGAAGGCAATTCTGTCTGCGCCCTTGATCTCTGTCAGATTCAGCCACAAGTGGCTCTCCAGCAGGGCCAGGTCTGTAGCGCTGCGGAGGTCACAGAATGCGGCTGGGTCAGGTCCAGACTCATCCATAGACCGGAGGAGTTTGGCCTGAAACACCTGGAGGACTGCCATGGTGTGAACGGCGGAGCCCGCTTGGCCAGAGGACGCGTAGGCCCGGGCAGCGAGGGCTGAAGTGGTCCGGCAGGGTTTAGACGGATGAGCTACCTTGGATTTCCATCCAATAGCAGTGGGCGGACAGAGGTGCCCAGCCACGGGTTCCTCGAGAGGGGGCAGCTTCTCGTATCCTTTCTAAACGGCGCCGTTGATAGTGTTGAGTGAGGTAGATGTGGAAGTGCGTAGGCGGGCCGAGTAGCGCGCCACTACTTGGTGAGCTCGTCGTGAAATTCTGGGAAGAACGCCACTGCTCGCTGACAATGGGCCTTTTGCTGGTGCCCCTGCAGGAACCATTCGTCCAGACGGCTACATGTGGGCTTCTCTGGGGCAGACCACTCGAGTCCGAGGTCCTCGGCGGCTTTGGAAAGGACACGGAATAACTCGGGAGTCCAGTCCAGCTCTGTTGTCGCTCTGGTCTCTAGACGGTAAGGGGGGGTCATCCACTGAGCCCGACCAATCCTCCACGTCAGAAGCGGCCAATGACATCATGGTGTCATCATGAAGGTCCTCTTCAGAACCTCCAAACGATACAAGGCCGCTCGTATCACACGAGGGGCACTAGTCTGCGTGGGTGAAGAGCATGGGAGAAATCTTTGAGGAAAGAGTGAGGCACGCGGGAGTGAGCTCACTCATATCGTATCGCTCAGTCCTCTGGCCCTGCTGTTTCTTGCTCCCAGGTTCCTGGGAGGGGTGAAACGGGAGAGCTCGAGGGGCCACAATCACGGCATGGCATTTGTATCAATGTCAGAATTTTGCCGAAATTTGCTCTTTTAATTGTCGCGGGATGGCCGCAGGGGAACGTTGAATGAACTGCGAGCAGCGCCAAGTCAGCTTGCCCGTGAGTGCGCTGGAGTGTCAGGCTGGCTGTATTTGCTTGATTGCAGAGGAGAAGAATCACCTCGTTCCGGTTCCGCTGCTGGGCTGGTCAACTGCGAGAAGGCCTTCTTGCAGGACAGTAAAGGCGATGTGTGAAAATCATCGCTGAAGGAGAATAAATCTGAATCCCATGGTGAGATGGGGTGCTTATTTATATGCTCGGCTTGGCGGGAGGTGCCCCCATTGGTTCGCACAGATACGCCACATCGCCATAGGCTCATGCAGTTCCCACTGCTCAGCCAATAAATGCGCGCAGATCACTGCACTGTTATGGCTGTGCAGTAGCACTGCGTCTGCAAATCGTTTAGCAGACGCAATATGAGTAAACGTTTCGAAAGTGAACCTCTAGAGGTCTACCACAATAAATAAAAAATAAATAAAGCACTGGATACAGAGGCCACACCTACTACACCATATTCTAATCGACACCCATCTTTAAGATGGCAGCGAATTATATGCCTGGATTCAGTTCTCTAAAGAATAGCAGAAGTACTATTCCTGTTTTACACCATAGCTCAGTCTCTCTCTCGACTTCAACTCCCCTAACCATAGTCGATGTACAACTGACTAACACACTTCTGAGTCACACAGCAGACCTACAGCTTATGTGGAAGAAGGGTTGGTGGGTGGGGACTGGGCAGAGAAGAACTCTGAAGAACTTAATCTATTTTAAATTTACAGATGTCTGTGACACATCTGTAATCCCCACTTTACAGAATATGTGCAAGACTGATGTGATCTATACAACAGACAAAGGTAATTGTGTTCTATCTTATTATTTTGATTATCACAAAAATATGTGAATAGACATTATAGAATAGCTGTGCATGTAACACTTTATTTCGATAGTCTAATTTAGACATTCTACTAATTATAAGTAACTTATGTCAACTAGCAGTATTAGAGTGTTGACTGTTTAATGTCTGCTAATACTTTATTTTGATGGTCCACCAACAGACATTCTACTGACTAACTTTGCAACTATGTGAACTTATTCTACTAACCCGAACCCTAACGCCTAACCTAACAGTCTACTATTAATCTAATGAGAGTTAGTTATCATGTAGTTGCAAAGTTACTTATGGTTATAGAATGTCTAAAGTGGACCATCAAAATAAAGTGTAACCCGTGTACATTATTGCAGTTTTATTATGAAAACATAAATTCAAATAAAGTGTAAAATACAAGTTAATAGCATTATCAGTGTGATTTAGAATACATAAATATATTATGTCAATACTTCTTAAGTTTGTGTTTATCTTAATAGTTCATTAATATGGTTAAGACCATGAGTTCATTGTGAGATCTATTAAGTCAATATGTTTTGCATTCTATTTCCTCACCATATAATTATATTAGTTTGATTAGCTTAATCTTTAAACCTTAAAGATCCATTGTGTAAATCTGTACTTCACCAAATGAATATATTTAAATGTATAAATAACTGTATATCTGTTAGTTCTTGTTTGTGAAGAGACTATGCATAACTAAATTAATCTCTAAATTAAGAAGAGGTCAGTGAAGTGAAACTCACTAAGCCAGTGCTAAGAAAAGAATGATTCAGGAAGTCGGTTAATCATATGTAAAACTTGTGCCTTTGCAGGATGAGTGCTGTGAGCATGATAGAGCT